CAGCTTGTTTATATTCGTATGATTGAGTTATATTTTGACACTTTCAGCTCTAAAGACTAGATAAAACATGAGTTTTGTGTTTGAATCAGCCAAAGCAAATGCTAGGCGATGGGTTGAAACCTTGAGCTACTTACTAGCTTTGCCCCATATCGTAAAAGTTCATTCTTCTCACTATACTCAACAGTTATTAAGCCTTAGGGGCTGCACAGGATGTCTCACATCTTCTTTTGTTTCGGACTCTAAATAGTAAGTAGCTCAAGTCCTCCGCCCCGAATTAGTTGTCGCAGGTATGGATGTATCTAGATGTATTTTAGTTATAGACTAACTTTATCCTTGCGACAAGCCCTCTTAGCCACACCCATAGGCATGTCCCTCATCATCAACAACACCCTAACTTCATCCTTGATTTGGTGAAAATAGTAATGCGGCATATCCTTGAGTACAAGTAGCGAAACATACCACAACATGTATTGATCAAACCAGCCACTTTGCATCGACTTTTTATGGAACATTGACTCACTGTGTTGACAACTAATTCGCGGTATAGTTTCCTCTCTTTATAAGCTTATCCTGACGACAAAATCTTCTTTGATCCAAGCCAAACCGCAAACCGAGTCACTGAACTTCCTCCCCTTCGTCTGGCTAAGTCCAAGCACTGCAATAATTCTCTTTCGGTTGCAGGCTTGTAGCCTATTGTTTTTATGGTATCTTCTTTTTGCGTGTTGCAAAGTAGCTACAGACATGTCTAACTTTCTTTACATGTCAACAACTTGTTGTATTAGTATCTTTCAGTTCTCTAAAACAAAATTAGTATATTCCAATCAGAAAAAAACAGAGGACAAGTAGGAGGTATCAATGCCTTGTATTATTCCGATGAAAAACTAGCAAGTAGTTCTATAGTTGAAGAGTTTCGTCTAATCATTAATCAATGTTACGCCCCTGTCACATACTCATATTGATATACCATTTGTAGGTTGGTTGGCTAATTTAATATATCTTTGTCATCTACTAGCATTAATATAAGGGAATGGATTAAGTCAAGAGTCAAAGATATTAAGCTATCATATTAAATCCACAGTTAGCCTTACAGAAGTAATCTATATGTACAAGTTGTTCACGTCCTTGTTTGGATGCTTACTGTCGTGGCATTGTTAATGGCTGCAGTTGGGTTTGAACTACTGGAGGAGACCAGGCCAACTATAGTTAGAAAATTTTGGTAAAGATATACATATTACTTTCAGAAAATATGTAAATAGACCATCTATGGATGCTCAATTATCTGCAGTATATTGTATTTTCTGAATTTTTAGACTGATCAACGCGTGAGCAATGGTCAGCTTGAAGAGAAGAATTAGATGATTTTATCTAAATATTTGTGCCTCCTAACAACAATATGTGCCTTCTAACAATAATGAACAAGAAAAATTTTGTCTAATTTTACATGCGCAAGCTTACTAGTTAATGAAGTGAGAGTTGCATCTTTAGTCCAGTTCCCACACCACATAATGATGTGAAATACTACTTCGTAAGTAGTAATTTTTTTTTCGACAGTACGCCTAGGTGTACCATAGCTTTATAGAAGGCAGAATTGAAATTACAAGAAACTACCACTCGCTGCGAACAACGAGGGTAGCACACACCACACCACTCACGACCAAGATTACAGGCTGACAACACCGCAAAGCAAGCTACAACACAGAAGAGCCTATCCTCAGCTGACACACACACCGCGTCTCGACCGATGCCGGACACCTCCGAAGATCATCACTTTCCATAGAACATCGCTTGTTGACGCACCATCCACCATCTAAGAGAAGCACCATCTTGAAGACACCAGCGACGAGCGTACATAGCGCCACAAAGGACCAACAGAGGACAGCGGCGAACACCGGAGGACCCGACCACACAAAGCTCCCAACAGAGATACGACGTCGAGGACGCCGCCAATGTGCCGATCCAACATCGAATCAAGGCTTTCGCCCGGAGACAACCACCAACTCCAAGTGAGCGAGGGGCATGGCGCACACGCCTCGGCGACGCCTCCAAGAAGGGAATGACACCCACAGGTGCCATCGCCGCTGGCCCGACATAAGCCAAGCAAGATTTTCATCCGCGCAAACGCACATCACCACGCCTCCTAGAAATGGGCTACACCGTCCAATTTGCCTCGCACCGCTGCCACCGCAACTCTAAGCCGAAGTAGCCGCAAAGCTGAGGACCGACGACCGACTGCATGACCAAGAAGAACCCGGCCACCGCACCAACTCCCAGCCTGAACAAGAGGCTGTAGCCACCCGCACCTCCGCCAGGGTCCATGACCGTCCGCAACTGCCTACGCCCACTCCAAAGGCTGGCCTTGCAACGGTCGGACCCGCTCCTCCGCGAAGAACCAAGCCGCGCTACCGAGAGAGCCCCGCCACTCACCACACCGCGCAGAGGAGGCCGGCCACTTGTTGCTCGCCAAGACTCCATCTTGGCCGAGCCATCGCAGCGCCGCCACCACCAGCCTGGCCGTGGGTTTGTTCCGCTGCCTCCAGATGACGCTGAAAGTGCCCAAGCACACCACCACATTGGTGCCAGCTCTGTCCAAGCCCGCTGCCCTGCCAGGCTCCATGTCGCGCATCCGCCGCCATCCTCCTCCACCAGCAGCCGCAGATCTGGCCAAGACGAGCCCCGCCACGAGAGAAACGTCACGCCTCCACCGGCTCGCGCGCTCCGCCATGACGACGCGCCTCCACCAGCCAGCGGCTGCGCTGCCCCATGACACCACCGTCAGCAACGCCATCCGACATGCTGGCCTCCGGGATCCGCCGTCTTGAGGGAAAAAGAGCCCCCCCGCGCCCCCCGCTCCAGCTGAGGGCGAAGGAGACCCCGCCGCCGGCGGCACCGCGCGGGCTTTGCCCGGCGGCGCTTGCCGGCGGCGGCGGGGGGAGAGGGAGCGGGTGGGGGTAGGTTTTGGCGGCTAGGTTTGGGGCGCCCGGGTCGCTCGCGGGGGGTGACGCGGGGTACGGAGGAGCCTTTCAAGTAGTATTTTTTCAGAATTTATCATGTCCTCCAAAGCTAAGAATCTCTTCTCTACTACCTTAGGGAGTGGCTAATTTTATATACCTTCAATTCATTCTGGTTCATTCTCTTTTTTGTTCTCAGCCCTTCTGTTTTATTTTTTTGAGCAAAAGAGGGCTCCCCCCTCCGATTTCATTAACCAAACCATCATTATGAAGAACAACCAACAACTCCAAAAGCTACACACAAAATATCCTCCTACAAGAGTTCTAGATAGATCTACTTATTACAAGTACCAACAGACAGGATGTAACCCGTCTATCAACCCAGAGGCTAGAAAACATAAAAGCTAAAACTAAACGCAGAAGTAAACTAGACGAGCAATAGGCAACAGTTTTCGTCATCCTTTGAGACCTAAAGCAGGGGATGAACTCCAGCAACTATGACAAAATTTGTTATCAGCCACCCAACCTTAGCACCCCCGGTCTCCAGCCTTGGCATCTCGATTAATTCTGCTCCCAACATCAGTAACCTTCGCGCGGTGCAGGCCGAATTGGCTTCTTAGTCTCAACTTCTTTAGCACTACGTTAAAGGTAGGACATTATATAGTACAAAA